AGCAAGAACGATTTCAAGTGCAGTATATTGGTAAATAGTTTCAAAAGTGCAGCATTTTGATATATTGTTTTACTGTTTATCGTATATAGGTAAAAAAGCTGAAAAATATGCATCTATTATTATTTCCTTGCTAGTTATTGCATGTTACTTCTGGTCAACAAAAAAAAGTTATTGCATGTTACTTACATGTTATGAGAATTACTAATAATTTAAGTTACTTATGCATGATTGTCCAAAATTTTTCTTATTTGATAGAGCCGACTGGGGTTACATTTAATCTTGAATATAAGATTTTAATTTACTTTGTCTTTCATATTTATTATTATTTTCTTGAACTATTCTTGTTAATTGAACGTGTCAAGAAAGTTTGTATCAAGGGCTAGTTTCAATGCAAGTGATTTAAGATGTTAATTTAAGAAAACAAAAACAAATTTGTTATAAATGACTAATTTTTTTAGTATTTATAAATTAGTTATCTAACTTTTATATTAAAAGTCAAAGATAGAGAAGTAGTATCATGTTTGGCAAGTAATAAACAAATAATTCCTGTAAATTTCAAATACATGTAATTGTTTTTTTTAAAAAAAATATGTTGGCATGGCTTGCAACTGAATGTTTACCCTTCTTGTTTATAGTGGGATGTTATTGTTTTATTTCCATACCCATTCATTGTTTCCCTTTTCTTTTTCTTTTTTGGGCAACAAAGACAACTAGACAAGCTATGCTTGAAGGAGAAAACTAAAATCTTAATAAGTTTGGCATGAAAAACTAGAATGCAGTTAAAGAATGTTTGGCATGAAAACTACTGGTTTTGCCATTTCTTTTGTATTTTCTTTTTAATTTCATTTGAGAAGCAAACAGAAATGGCATGTGTTTAATGTAGGGTGTGAAAGTATTCTACAAACTAAACTACATTACAATGCATTATAAGTTTTTATAATAGATAGATATTTTATTTATGACAGACACGTGATTAGTTTTTAGAGTATTTTTAGGATGAGATAAAAAAATTTCAGGATGAACAACTATGGGATAGGATAACATAGTGACTAGGATAGGACGAGACGTAGGATGAGGTCGTCCCATCCTAGAATTTTTTTTTTTAATTCACTTATTAAATTATTAATATTAGTATTTGTTCTTTGTTCTTGTGATTTTTTTTTATTGTCAAAAGCATGATTTCTTTGTTATAATTTGGGCTTTCGCACAATAATTTTTTTTAGTGTTTTTATCCTTCAAAACCCCAATTAAAATAAAAATGAAGCATAAAAAATCCAAAATTTTGGCTCAAATTATTTTGGGGGGGGTGTTGGGGGGATAGGGTGGTTTTTTCCCCCAAAAAAACTGCAATTTGGGTTATAATTTTGGTTTCACGCATTCTATTTCCGTCAGGATCAGGATAGCATGGGACGGGGTGGTAGAGTTTCAATGTGCGAGTGTCTTAAAAGAAGTCTTATATTACTTAAAATTGAGAAGATCTTAGTGTTTACTAATATGTGAGCTTGAGCTAATAAAATGACGAAGAAGATGAGTCTTTAGAACTGACCATTAAAAATGACTGTTGAAGTATTTATGTGTCTTAATTACTCAGTTTTATTCTTTTGTAAACTATATTCAATGACATTAAAATGTTTTAATGTTTAAAACCACATTTTTAATTGTCATTAAAACTATCTTTAATCACCATTATGAAAGCCCAACAGTCACACATTATCTGTTTATAAAAGGCAATGAGTAGTGCATGGTTAGAGGGTGTTAAGTTCTATGCTCGAGATTTCCTCCTCTCTCAATTTTCCTGAGTTTTAAATTCCTATTGTTCTGTCACCTTGCTCTATGTAGGAAGGGTTTATTTAATCCTAGGGAGTGCCACATTTTATTCTAACCTGTGTGACAGAATAATTCTTAAAAACAATGTCATTGGATACGACTCGAACCATATTTTTATTATTTTTACAGTTATTGTCAACATAGGATCCGTCTTGGTCCCATCCTGTCCCATAAATACTCATTAGTTCACAATATGCTATGTTAGTATTATTATCTTTTATAATAATCAGGCTAGATATAACGTGCCAAACATATAATAAAATTTATCTTATTTGATATATCATATTATATTTCATTTGATCTCTATACCTCCATCATAATTTTGATATTCTAGTTAAATGTTTTAAAATAATTGGTTAATATAATATTTAGTCTCACAAGTTTGCACAAATTTTGATTTTAGTCTATCAAGTTTTAAATCATAGGTTTTTGGCTTTTTAAGAGACAAAATTCAAATTTTTATTGAATTATATAGAGCATGTTTTAAATAAAAATAAATTTGAGAGACCAAAACCTATGGTTTAAAATTTGATGGGCTAAAATTAAAATAAGGGCAAATTTTAATGATCAATAATTGTATTAACCTATAAATTTAAAAAAAGAGTTTGCTTTTAAAAATGACGGAAAAAACTAACATAATTATTTCTTATAACTTATAAGGATCATCCAATTCCTGTTATTCTTAACATCGTATCACTCATTAGAGTAAAAATTAATAAACATATATTACCTCTTGTGCTTAATATAAGAACTCATTTGATTTTTATTTTAATCCTAAATATAAGACTTTAATTTACTTTGTCTCTCATATTTATTTATTTTTTTTAAAGATAGTTCTTGTAATAATGATATTTCTAGCCAATAAACTTGATTATGAAGGATATTTTAGGAAAGACAATACTTATGTAGTATAAATAATTAACTTAACTAATTTCTTTAATTTACTTAAATTAGTCAACTAGTTCTTATACTATCTTCAGTCCTTAATATAAAAGCTAATTAACTACTTTGAGTAAATTAAGGTAATTAGTTAAATTAGTTATTTGTAATAAATAACTGTTATTTTTCCTGAAATATTTTTACTAATCAAGTATCATTTGATGAAACATTTAATATGTACAATTACTATAAGGATTATTTTGAAAAAAATAGATAAATATAAGAGACAATGTGAATTGTGTTAAAAGTCAAACTAACTTTTATATGGTTAGATAAAACCATATAAAACCAAACCATGGTTTGGAGAATAGCTTCTGAGAAAAAAAGTGACTTTTGAGAATAAATTTTGAAAGAATAAATTTTGTCAAAAAGTGATTTTGATAAAGTAAAAGTGTTTGGATAGTTATTATCAGAAGTATTTTTCATATGTACAAATTACTAAAAAGACATATGTTAATATGATAATTACATAAAACATAGATTTTATAATATATTTTTATTTGAAATAATAAATTTGTTAATAATATATTTTTTTGCCAACATAATAAATAATATATAAATAATATAATTAACAAATAATTAATGTGTATATGTATTTATAAAATATAAGATTAAATATATTTTTAGAAAAATGATTATGTTTTTGCCAATTGAAAAATATTATTTTTTCTTAAAGATTTTAAATATGAAATCCGATAACATTTTTTTACAGCTAGTTTTTTTAACAACATACTAGTTCCGATTTTTAATATAAGAGTTGTTTTGATATTCAATTTAATTCTAAATATAAAACCCTAATCTATTTTGTTTATCATATTTATCTATTTTTTCCAAAATAATCCTTATAATAGTTACATATGTTAAATAGTTCATCAAATGGTACTTCTAGTTAGTACATATAATTAGAAAGAGTATTTTAGAAAAAAAAAATAATACTAATTATTACAAATAATTAACTTAACTAATTTTCTTAATCTACTCAAATTAGTTAACTAACTCTTATAATAAGAATCAGAGATAGTATTACAACGTAAAAAAAAAAGGACCATATTTTCCACAAGCAACTTTTTTTCGCTTTTCATGAAACCATGGTTTGGGTGGGTCAAACCATGGTTTTGGAGCCAAACCATGGTTTTATAAAAATGTGAGGTGTTTGGCAACCTAAATCTTAAAGCCATAGTTTGAACTCTAAAAGTGATTTTGGCAAGGTTGTCAAACATCCCCTAAAAAGCGAAGGCAATATCTTTTAGCAAAATCACAATATGATGATAATTTTTTGGGTTAAGATGCGCCCAACATCCCGAACTATTTACCTAGATGCGTCCAGTGGCCTAAAGTAATTTTGAATGCATCCAATGTCCTAAACTAATTAAAATGGTGCGTCTATATCCCAAGCTGACAGAAATGTTATGTTTAATCGTTACTTTCCTGACTCAGCTTAAAGTTGACCCCATATATTGTACATGATAGACACATGGGCACCCGATGTGTATTATTCTTACTCAAAAGTCAATTTATTTAGAAGAAGAGGAAGGAAATAAATTCAATTTTGAGTAAAAATAATACACATCAAAATGTCCATATGTCTACCATTTAGAATATCTAGGGTCAATTTTAAATTGAGTCAGAAAACTAACGATTAAACATAGAATTTCTGTTAACTTGGGATATGGACGTACCATTTTAATTAGTTTAGGATACTTGATACACCCAAAATTATTTTAGACCACTGGACGCACCTGAATAAATAGTTCGGGGTGTTAGGCGTACCTTAACCGTAATATTTTTACCAAGAACTATATATGACCGGTGGATATATTAAAAGGTATGTATATTTTTTTGCCAACGACGTATTATAATATTTTAATTAAAAAATATGATGATTAGAACATATACACACACATACATACATATATATATATATATATATGTGCGCGCGCGCGCGCGCTTGTGTTTGTTCATATATTTTAAATTTTAAGTCTTGATTAAATATCAACCAAAACACAAAAAAAAAAAAAAAAAAGAGTGCCCGCTGAAATTTTGCAATTGACGAGTGATTAAATGCACTATCCTGGGCGAAATCCGAAAAACACCGTAAAATGGACTTATCTTGGGAGAAATTCCCAAGTATCATCTGATCCGATTATGAGGCGATTTTTCCCCAGTTTCTAGTTTCTTCCAGCACGTTTCGGCTGCACGCTCCATTCAGGCTTCGATTTGATTCATCGTTGTGCGTTTTCCATTCGATTAACTGAAGAAGCATTGAAGCATTGCAATACTCCTCTTTCAATCTGATCCCAAATATGCTTTCTTCAGCTGCTGCAAGGTACTCCTTCTCCTTCGCCAAATTTCCTCTCTTTGCTACCTGTACCTTCTTTCTCTCTTTCCCTTGTTCCCTTACTCTCAAATGTTATCTTCATTCCCACTCCCCAAACCCCAACAACATCCGCGACGCCGTTGATACAGTCACTCACTTCCTCCACATGCGGCCCCCTCCCTCTAGAAAATATATCAATAAGATTTTAGGGTCTATAGTGAAGATGAGACATTATCCCCTGGTTATCTCACTTCTTGCCCAAGCCGAGTTGAAGGGCTACGTGCCAGATTTATTTAACCTGAGCATCTTGATCAATTGCCACTGCCACGTCGGTCAGATGGATCTTGCTTTCTCTCTGTTGGGGAAAATTTTCAAGATGGGCTATCAACCAAACGCTGTAGTTTTGACTACACTAATAAAAGGACTCTGTTTAAATCGAGATGTTGGCAAAGCTCTAGATTTCTACGATGACATAATGGCAAAAGGATTGAAGTTAAATGAAGTTAGTTATGGAACATTAGCAAATGGGCTATGTAAAATGGGGAAAACGACATCTGCTCTTAAATTGCTTAAAGTAATGGGGAGGCACCTTGTTAAGCCCAATATAGTTATATACAGCACAATCATTGATGCGCTTTGTAAAGAAGGACTTGTTAATGATGCACACAATCTCTATTTTGAAATGATTGACCACGGGATATCTCCAAATGTTGTTACTTATAGTAGTCTAATCCATGGCTTCTGTCGCATGGATCAATGGCATCAAGCAAATCAATTACTCAATGAAATGATATCGAAAGACATACAACCAGATGTTTATACATTTAGCGTCCTAGTTGATGCATTTTGTAAAGATGGAAGGATTGTACAAGCTCAAGCTGTATTTGCTAGGATGGTGAAGAGTGATCAAAGACCTGATGTTGTTACATATAATGCGTTGATGGATGGACATTGTTTGACCAATAATATCATTGAGGCTAAGGAAGTTTTTAACAAGATGATTGAAAATGGTTTGGCACCTGACCTTTTTAGTTATAATATTTTGATCAATGCATGCTTTAAGATGAAAATGGTTGATGAAGCCATGGATTTGTTTAAGGAATTACGTCATAGAAATTTGGTTCCTGATGTTACAATGTATAATTGTGTTATTGATGGCTTGCTCAAATCACAAAGAATTTCAAGCGTACGAGATATTATTTACTGGATGCATGAGAGGGGTCTTCACCCTAACATAATCACTTATTGTATCTTGTTAGATACATTTTGCAAAATGGGGCATCTTGACAAGGCTGCTACATTATTTAGCCAACGTGTCAATCAAGGATTTCAACCTAATGTGAGGACCTACACAATACTTATTGATGGCTTGTGCAAAGGTGGTAGATTAAATGATGCGTGGAAGATTTTTCAATATCTTTTTGCCAAAGGTTATCAACTAGATGTGCATACCTATACTGCAATGGTTCATGGACTTTGCAAAGAGGGTTTTCTTGATGAAGCCGTGACCTTACTTGATAGAATGGAAGAGAACAATTGTCTCCCTGATTCCGTAGCTCTCAAGATTATTATCCACTACCTTCTTGAAAGAAATGAGAATGACAAGGCCGTTAAGGTTATCAATAGAATGATTGATAGAGGCGTGCTGAAGAAATAAAAGGTGAGATATACTGCCTCTGATTCATGTTCCCTGCATATTGATGTTTTACTAGCATGAGTGGTTAGCAAAAGCTTGTTTGTGAATTTGCACAGTTAATTGAGTGGTTTGGCAAGAATATCGTTTGATGTGTAATTGTCATTGTAGTGGATAGTTTTCACACGCATGTTCAGTATAAAACATTTTGAGGTTGATACCATTTTGGATTGTATCAGCCAAAATTGAACTTATTCTTTAGTGCTTATTTTTTATCTCTAGAAAGGCTGTTTAGTATTCGATGGTCAATTCCTAGGAAAGCTATCTAATGTTCTTGAATTTTGATCCTAGGTGTACATAGGCAGACATTTAGTTATGAATAAGGCTGAGATATTGAATATTGCAAGGTGAGCAGGTTTCCTGAGTTTAAGGTGAAAATTCCCTGCAATAAAAAAAAAAATTAAATAAAAAACGAGACAACAGATGACGTAGATGAGTTAAGGAAATGAAAAACAGGCACACTCAGTAGACTGATGTGGAATTTTAGATGATGTTGTGGTTGACTTTTTGTGAGGTTATGTTCTGTTAATATGTGGTCAAGTATTATATGTTTCTATTGGTGATGCACTTTCCTTTATATGGGAACAAGAGAATGTCCGGCTTGCAATACCCCTGGTGTTGCCATTTCCTTTCTATTTTCTTCCTAATTTTTTTTAAAAACAGAGAGAAAATTGCATATCTTTCTTTGAAGAAGCAAGATATGCTGTGAAAGTGTTATGAAAACTAAATGCCCAAATATTATTTTTTTGTGGGGAAAAGATGATAGATTTTAGTGTTTTGTTGATGAAGATCCTCCTCTTAGATTTATTCTTTATCAGGAATACCTTATCAATGATACTGGAAGTTAGAATTCTACAAGAGGATGAAACAGTAATTTTTAACCATTCTTGATCACTGCAGTTGATGGTTATGAAAGAAATATGAACATACATAGTCGGATACTTGGCAAACCTCGTTTTCTCTTAATTGACATCTCACTAAGGCTCAAGCACACAGTAATAGTGGTATAGACTCATGAAAATGTTTGTTTCTATGTTACTGGCGGTGTTTTGCCCCATCTTCTTTGGCCGTTTACAGTTGTAGTTTTTTTATTTACTAGGAGATTGATCAATATTAAGCTTCGGAATGTCTTGCAAAAAACTGATGGTGTTTTTTTCTTTGGGATAAGATGCATTTTTTTGCCTTGGAAGTTTTCGATGAGGAGCTGTGAGTATTCGGAAATGTTACTTGGAGTAATGTCGCTCTATAAGTTTACAGAACGTATCAATGTCGTCCTATCCGCTAATAAAGTTAACTTTGACTGTTAGTTGGGTCAACTATGCTGAGATTGCTTTGACATATAGGATATAATGCCACATAATACTCCATCTGTCATGCTACGTCAGCATCATCACCTTCCTTTCACTCCTCCCCTGCACTTTCGAATCTGAACTGCTAGCCCCACCTCCTCCTTCTGAAACCTTCCCTTCTCTCCTTCACCAAACTTTTGAATCTCATACTTGATGCCTCTTTCTCCCTCCTCTGTCTCTCCTTGACCTTGCTCATGAAGCTCGACAAGTGCCAGGGATTTAATGCCTATTCTTACAGAGAAGTCGTTCTGCCTCTTCTCAGTGTCCATTGTGGATTCTAGTACCTGCCTCCTTTTCATATATAAAGTTTATTTAATTTGTATATTTCTGAAAAGCTGATGTAAAATTTGGATGATTTATGAAAAATATCCCATTTTGAGTAATGCTCAATATGCTTAATTGAATGACAACATCAACCACACATTTTGACCTCTGCCATTGTTTTTGCTTTGCACGAGGGAGGAAGAGAAAGAGATAATATATATAGAACAAAAACTTCTCAATATATACACATATATGGCAGTTTTTAAAAATTTTGGAGCTGCAAAATTTTCTTCTGCTTCAGCTTCTATGCATAACGTAGGTGGAACAACAAAACCTCACCCATTAAAAGCCCAACTTGATTCAGGAAGAAAGCAGATTCAGGAGCTGAAAGAAGAAATTATATGGTACAAAGGTAATTAGAGCCAACCGGAGTTTGAGGTGCTAAATTTGAAGGCTGAAATGTTTGATGCCCAGGGAAAGTATTCTGTGGAGAAAGAGCTTTTGAAGTCTGATGTATTAAATTTGTCAGAAGCAAGAACATGGCTGGAGACAAGTTGGTGATCACATTACTTTGGATTCACCAAGTTTTTGACATAGTCCTGGAAAGTGGGCAAGGTTGCAATGCATTTATGATAGCCGGAGAATTTTTGTGAACTCTTCTAAACCCTGATTTTACAGTCTTGGTGGCCGGTGAAGATTTCAAAAGCTAGGGAAAGTTCTGAATGGGATGATAAAAAATGGTTTGACGCCTGACCTTTTTAATTATAATCTTTTGATCAATGCATACCTTAAGATGAAAATGGTGAATGAAGCCATGAATCTTTTTAAGGAATTGCATTTTAGAAATTTGGTTCCCAATGTTGTAATTTGTTGCTGTATTATTGATGGCTTGCTCAAATTGCAAAGAATCTAATGCTATGAGATTTATGATAGGGGTTTTTACCTTAATATTATCACTTACAATACATTGTTAGATGCATTTTGTATAAGAGACATCTCGACAAGGCCATTACCTTATTATTTAAGCAAATTGTCAATCAAGGATTTCAACCTAACGTGAAGACCTACACTATACTTATTGATGGTTTATGCAAAAGTGGTAGATTAAATGATGTGTGAGAGATGTTTCAATGTCTTTTAGCAAAAGGTTATCAACTTAATGTACATACATATACTGCTATATTCATGGTTTCTGCAAAGAAGGCTTGCTTGATGACGCAAATCTCCTTGCTTGATAGAATGGAAAAGAATGGTTGTGTCCCTAGTTCTGTAACTTTCAGTGTGCTTCGTCAATCTCTTGTTCGAAAGAATGAGACATGCTAAGGCTTCTTCATAACATGAGATCTAGAGGGTTGTTCAAGACGTAAAACATGGTGAGAGACTAAAACTGTACCATATATTTGAAACATTCCTTGTTATTAGGAGTTTTAATCCTAAATTTTTATCTTTGTTGTACGTTGGCTGACATGTGGTTATAAGCATGCCTTAAGAGTTTGAAATTTCCAGTTGATCTGGTTTCTTGATTGAAAGTTGAGAATTTCTTGTAATAAAACGATGTGGTAGGGCTACGGATAATGCAGAGGAGGTAGAGAAATAAAATTTATACATGACATCAGCATAGGGTGGACTGATGAGAAATTTCAGTATTTGATTATTGTAGAGATTTTCTTCCAATTAATTCCAAATGCATATTGGTGCATGAAAATGTTCTGCATATATTAGCAGTTTTACTAGAGAAAATTTGTTAGCTGCTTAATTATTTTTCTTAGATTTCATACAGCATGGAACATTATTATTGTATCATTGATCAATCTCCACTTAAAGCGGAGAAAATTTCTAATTGATTTTCGTTTCACTCAAGAAAAACGAAAAATGCAGTTCTCCTATTTCACTTTGGTTCATAATGCATAATAATAAATAGGATACTTGAATTTTCCCCTCTTAATTACCTAGTGAATAAATTTGCCTAACAATGAGAAATGTGGCCAAATATATGATCATGCTTCTTACGCACTGCAATGTTGTTGAGGGAAAATTGCCTGTAAAACTTGCCCTCTGTTGTCATATCAATGAAAACAATTGAATACATTACAAAGTAATTTGCAGAGTCCAAGTGTTTTGTTCTAGATGCAGAGTTAATTGAATGGTTTGTTTTCGTTTTAAATGTCAAATGTCAATTCACTTGAAGGCAATGTTTAAAAGTGGGACTAAACATTAAACCGAAAAAGAGAGTGGGTCACGGTTCAAACAGTCAGATTGATCAGGCTGTCTGGTTGGACATGATAATCCAATAAAAAATAATATTACACTCTTAATTTTTTGCATATGAGAGTTTTTTAAGAATGATGTGTTCCAATTAATTATTAGTAAATGCTACAATATTAATTATTAGATTGCTCATTCTTTTTCTTGCCTTTTCTTTTAAAAGAAAGTTGTATTTTTTTGACATATTTATTATTTTTAAAATATTTTAACTACTATTTTAATAGATCAATTCACATAATTTGAACAAAAAAGAATTAATAATTAAATGACTAATATTGTTATATTATATTTCTAAACCTATGGTAGGTAACACGCTTAGATATCCACGGTTGAGGAGTCTTATTTTTCAGTTGCCTCCATCTCACTTTTCTTCCCAACCCCAACTTCATAATAATACCAGAGACTCCATTGAAGGAAAAAGTTTCGACTTTCTTCTCTATGGGAAACCTTTTACGCATTATATATTAAATTCAGAAAAACACCATTAGATAATAAATGAATGATAAATATTATATATATATTCTTTTTTATATTTAATTAGATTCCATCTCTTATACCACTAATCTAGTATGGATAAGAAAAAAAGAAAATATTTACAACTAGTTATTTATATTGAGTTATTCAATATATGTGGTTTTACCTAAGTATGTCCAAAAGTAAGTAGAATTTTGAAACTTTTCATATTTGACCTTAATTTGAGCTGAATATTAATTCAAATCCTTTGTAGAAGTATAAGATCATGTTAAGTGGCCCAAGAGTTTTAACAACTTCTCAAAATAACCCTTTGAAGGGTGTAGATAAATTCACTTAATTGGAGATAAGCGATAGGTATGTGGACAAGCGAAACAGTCAAAAGGTAAACATATTTTTGAAAATGTATCATAAATATTTATTAAATTTTATAAAATTATGTGAAGATCCAATAGATAAGATCTTACAACTGAGGCAAGGAAAGTGCTCCAAGAGAACTTAATTTATCAAAAAGCAAAAGAATGTTTTGTTTGAAGAGGATTCAAAAGGCTGATGATATTAATTTTTTTTTTAAAGCTCATATATATTTTCGTAGCATTAACTAATTTTCTTACACCAAAAATTTTTAAAAGAGACCTGTCGGCACTAAATGTAGATACTCTTCCAGTAGAAATTTGAACATGATTCGTCACATTGTGAGAAACTAATCCCTTCCACTAGATCCAATCCCGAGTTGTTGAAGGAGACTAATTTATTTTTGTTGTCTCTTCGTTTTAGATTTGGTTGTGCGCCTTTTTTTCCTCTGTAGATATTCCTTTATGATGATACTGTGATTGTACTATTAGTTTGTGGTTAATGATATTTCCGTTTCCTTGATGGCAAAAAAATAGACAAGATCTTATACGGAGTATAAATTACTCAATATTGTTATTGTTATCAATTTTTGTGCCATCTATTATTGTTATCAATTACTCAATTATATATGCTGGTAAAAAAAAACTCAATTAGTATTTTTAAACCTTGTTTACTCAATTATATTTTCGCAAGGAAAATTACTCAATATCATTAGGCTAAAATACACTTTTAGTCCTTTATTTTACATAAAGTTTCGTTTTGGTTTTTTAAATTTTAAAAAGTAAAATTTTAGTCCTCTAACCATAGAATCGGTAATAAAAATAATGATATTGAACTCTTGAATGCTGATAAAATATTATTAAATACTATAATATTAAGTTTAATTTTTAAAACAACCAATTATTACAAAATTATCATTTAAATTAATAATTTTAAAATTAAAAAACTAAAAATATTTTTTTTTAAATTAAAATATCAAACTAAATTTTATCTAAAATTAAATGAATAAATATACTTATTGATGCTGTTATCCATCATGGAATGATTTGCCTTTATTATGGGAAAAAAACATGTGACTATGTGAAAGCACAGGGAAAAGAAGTCAAGCCTTTTAGTAGAACCGGGGCAACCAATAGAAAGAAGGTTCAAAATCCAAAAAGCAGAAAGAGACAAAAGATAGTGCAGGCATGATGAGATGAACGTTGCCTGCTTTTCTGGTACCTGTCTTCCATTTCCATATGCTTCATCGCTTCCACTTAGTGCGCTCTCTCTCTCAATCACTCTCTTTCTTCCTCCTGCTTCTTCGCTTCCTTCGGTGGAATTTCTTGCGTCACTGCTTGCTTGCTTTCTCGGCGGTGCATTATCTATTTATGAAGCGGTCATTCTTATTCAATCTTTCGTTGCGTCCATCATGGCCTTGTCCTCTTGCCTTTCCCATTCTCCGCTATTCACATTCGAGGTACGGTTTCTGTGCTATCCATTGCTCGATTTGTTCTTTTCGCTTCTAATTTTCTCTGCAGCTGTATGAATTTCTAGCGAACTTGAGTTCTTTTTTTCTTTGCTTTCGGGGCTTTCGTTTCGTTTTTTTTTTTTTTGGCTTTTTCCTTGAATCTTCGAACTTCTGCACTCGTTTTATATTGGAATTGGCTGTCTGGTGGAGATTTGTATCCGTGACATATTTGTGCAAATTTTTCTTTCAAATTTGGTGGATCTGAGGTTGGTGTTTTGGCATTCTATGGATCTATATTAGGTGCAACATGACTGTATAGAAATTTCAAAAGGAGTTCTCCGTCTGTGTCTTCTGCCTCTAAGTTCACGCTGTACTGGAAGTAATTTTTGTTATCGAGTTCCTACTACATAAATAGTTCAGTGTGTGGCTGCTTGCTGCGAAGCTTTACAGCTGAGCTGAGGTTGCAACTATCGGCCTAGTCAGAGAACACTGGCCTATTGAACCGAAATGAGCTTTTATTTAAAATATTATCTGAACAAGTTTTTCATTTTTACTGGGAAAAACCAAGATTTCTTGTAATGGAAGGTAGCCGTCAATCTTGTACATCGTTCATTATTGTGTATAAACAACATAATGAATATTTCGGGACTCAAGAATGTGTTTATAGTTAAGGTTCTGCTACTTATTAATTCATCACTTGTGGCAGACTATAAAGCCTTGCAGTGGGAGGGGGCAAACGTTTCCTTTCTTACAAGAAGCAATGATGCTGGGCTTTCTAAAGCAGGAATTGTGAGAAATAGGCGTAACTTAAGCAGAGACTGGAGTTTCATGGAGGATCAAGATTAATTGTTAAACCAAAAGTAGCGAGAACTCTTTACTCAAAAAGCATTGGAACATATGCTTCATGTAATTCCTTTTTATACTATTCATGCTACTTTGTTTTTGTTTTTCCTTTTGATTCCAAGAATCATGCATCTTGTTGCTTTTCTAAATAGTTCAAGGGCTTTACCCAAGTTTGTAATAATTTGGTTTTGCACACATATTCCATTATTGTATGTATGCTTTGAATAATAGAAGTTCCAGGTCTGTTTTTAAGTTTCCTTTTATTTTCTTTGCTGAAAGTTTTTCTTTACTCGTAGCAGTAAATTTCCCATGAGTTTTTGCCCGTGGATTCCCATAAATATAATTTCATTTATTGCAAGCTGTCATACATCATTAACTGGTTACCAACAAAACAAAATGAATGGCAAATAATGTTAGGAATAATACAGGATGGTCTTGAAAAATCCATATAATTTGATGTTAATCTCATAAATTATGACATTTAACTATAAAAAAAGAACCAACAACTCATTTGGTACATGCTCAAAAGTTCATAAAATTAGCTGATGCTTGTTACAGATACTTACGTATCATTCCATCTTTTGTGAACTCTTAAAGGATATCATGTGTTTTTTATTGACACTTTCCCATTATGTGCTTGATATATGCATGTGAGGAGTTCAGTTAACGCATGATGTTCGACATTATTACCGTTTTGAATGGTTGTTGCTTTGACCTACTCTGCTTTCTTCTTTCAAGTTTGAGAGGCCAACTATCCTCGTTGTCCCTTCCCTTCTGTTACATGTCTTGTGTCTAGAAATTTATGTAGGTGCTGATCTTTGCTATCTTCAACTGTTGTTCCAATTCTTTGCCCTTCTGTTACTACGCCAGTTTGATTTACTGCGACCCAAAGATTCCCTTTAAAAATTCAACCTTAAAGCCTTGATAGCTTTAAAACATGATTCACATGTTTTAACTTGCTGGTGAATTTTGTCTGTGGTTGTTAAGCATATGATATGCATAACTTCCTACTGTTCTGGCTGCTGAGCTTATGAAAATCATCACGTGGCACTTGGATTTAGTTAGCATTGTAAACTTTAGTCAAAACGCTCTTGTTTTTGGGTCCCTAGATTGGCCCTCAATTATCGATTTGGTCCATGTGGTTGTTTATTACCAATTATGCCCCTATAGTTTCATAACTATTCATAAGTAGTTTTTATAGTTTAAAAACAGTGTAGGGAAAATGAAAACATTCTGCTTTTGGGGGAACAAAGATGTTCTAGTTTAGAACTTCTATGTGATTATGAAACTAATACTGTTTGCTACATGGTCATTCTTCCCTACACTGTTGTCAAACCATGACGACTGCTTTTGTATGGTATTAACTATAGGACATGTGATTGATAATGATCAATCTATAAGGACCAAATTGATAACTGAGAAAAATCTAGGGAGCAAAACTTCCTTTTCCCCTATGAATTATTTCATTATACCAAACTGATGTTGTAATTTATTAGCAGAAGCAAAGCACTGTTTAATTTTCTTAGTCTCTATGGTCATTTCTTAATTCGTTTTTGTGTAGACTTGAGATGATCACGTTAGTTCTCTGTTTTCATTCTTCTACGTCTATGTTGCAGGGTTATCGGGCTCTCAACTAGCTAGCAGTGTTTTAACAGTCGGAACGGTAGCAGTACTTCCGTTTTACACACTTATGGTTCTTGCTCCAAAAGCTGAGTTAGTATGTTTCTAACTGCAGGGAAAATTCCTTAACACTTTTGTCTTCTATTATTTGGTCCATGGAAAAATCATTTTACAAGCATAGATAATTGATAACGTTTCTGTTGCACTGTGAACAATATGGATGCTTTAGTCTCCTATATGCTTTCGAACTTTCTCTCCATGTAAATTTTTGGTTTGGTAAAATTTAATATTCTTCTTCTATCTGATTCCATGTCATATGGGGTTGGTTCTATGGTTAAATTATCTGATGCACTCTCCAAAATGCAAAATGCAAATGCAGACTAAAAGGTCGATGGAGAGCAGCATGCCATACATTGTGCTCGGGGTTTTGTATGCCTATCTGCTATGCCTTTCCTGGACCCCCGAGACCGTTCGGCTGATATTTGCAAGCAAATACTTACTACCGGAGGTGTGTGTTGATTCATAAATTAAAATTTTCACTTTCCAAAACATTTATATCCAACCGTGTGCTTCTCTTTCTTCTCCTTCTTCGGTGTACTTGATGCAGCTGACTAGTATAGGAAAGATGTTCACCAGTGAGATGACCTTAGCCTCTGCCTGGATTCACTTGCTTGCTGTAGATCTTTTTGCTGCAAGGTTCACTTTTCTTTTCCTACTCCTTGCTTTAGAGATTTGGATCCTCTTAGTTTGGTTAAAAATTGATGGTTACAATTTTAAAAGAGATTGACAAAATGTGTAAGATGCACTTCACTGGCAGAGTTCATTTCAATGAATTCCACAATGAGTCCCACAAAAAATGTATTCCTTTGGTCCTATTTACAAGGCAGAAAAAAAAGACATTTTTGGTCCTATTTAAAAGTCACTTGATTAAATTTTTAACATGAATGTATTATTTTACTTCTAATTTATTATTGTGTAAATTGTTATTTTCTTGGAATGTATATATAGTAGATAAGAATAAGTTGGAAGTTATTAAATTTCAAGACAGTTAGTGAATTTTAAAGTTTTTTTTTTATCTAATAAAACATGTTAGAAGTGACTTATGAATAGGACTAATGGAATATATATTTCTTTCCAAAATAGACAACGTCACTTTTTGGATAATTTGAAAGAATGCCTGTTTGGATTCCTTCATCTTGTTTGTGCCTGTCATTCTTTAGTAAGCGACTTGATAATCTAAATATTGGTGGTGAATTCAGGCAGGTGTTTTATGATGGGCTGGAGAATCAAATTGAGACTAGGCATTCAGTGTCTCTTTGCCTTTTCTTTTGCCCCATTGGGATTCTTACTCACATTATCACCAAAGGATTGACCAAAACTACAAGGCAAAAGGAGCATCACTTCTAGAGAGCAGCTGCTCATGCAAGACCAAACGAGTACTTCTTTGGAAGTTGAAAGATTTGAGTTCAAGATTTACAAATCTCCTTATAAGTTTTTTTTTTTTTGGCCCTTTTTCATCATGATTGATTGTTCTATCTCTAATGTATTTATTACTCTTGTTGAGAGAATATCAATGGGAAAATTTTAAAGTAATTTTGTTCTACTTTCTTTTATGACAATTAGTTCTAGATAGAAAACTAAATCATTTAGAAACTTGTGGAGTACTCTTATATACTAGTCTGACATACTTTGTATTATATAGCTTAGTTTATCCATTAATTGAGGCTACTCTAACATGCTCATCAATCTCCTATTGATGAAAATCACTTTGTCTTTTCTTTAAAAAAAAAAAAAAAAATTTATCGTATTGGCCACTTCAATGAGGTGATATACCTTCTCAGCTTAGCTAACTTCCAAGTCGGATGGATTTCGGAAAACTACACCAAAGATCCATTCTCCTAGAGATTTGAGAAACTCTCTTGCATGTTACAGCTGCTCTCTAGAATTGATTTAGCTGCCTCATTCAGGTGTTCGGCCACAATTATCAAAATCTCTCATAGATTGTAATTGAAATACACGCTCGTTACTTCATTATTTTTTGCTGCATCACCTATTGATAAGGTCACAAGAAATCCACAACAGAATCAAGGCCAGACCATTTTTGTCTGGAAGTTGTCCGTTGACATAATTGCTTGGCTTTCCACTGGGGCTTCCGAGTCCTTAATAGTTTACAGAACTTAGCATTTCCTAACACCATTTACTTCTCATACCTCCCAACATTAGTAACATGCTACTTTTCTTGAATACAAGTAAAATACTACTTTAACTAAACTGGGCCTTTAAACAGAATTTTCTCAACATTCTTTAAACAGCTTGCCAAGCATGTAACCACAAATTGTCACCTGTTAGCCCGTCTTACAAAGATATATTTTGTTCCTTTTTTTTTTTTTTTTTTTTAATGTGTGAGCCCGCGGGTGTGTAGAGACATCCTTCTTTCATAATCACAACCAAACAAACATATATATACCAGTCATGGACATTCAATGATTTTGGTGCCTGCATAAATTGGTTATTCACTTGCATCGAAAGATTTAAATAAGAGTTTGATATTTCCATAATAGTCATAAGAAAATATAAAACATCAAATTGAGCATAATTAAATCGTTCATCATATTACACGGAAGTATAACACATTAATGATTCTGTACAACATATTATAATGAACTTGTGGATTAAAAGTGCGCTTAAATCTCCTAAAAGATCAGATGAATCATCAAGAACTTCAAAGAATCTTTTGCCAATCCAACTAGCTCCGCAATGGAAGTTGCCAGAATGGTCGAGCAGCCTAGGATTATAAAAGGATGTAACAGCTTCTCAGCGACAGGAGCCACAAAATGAAATTGCTGGTGACAAAGTACAGCCCAATGATATCAAGAGGCTTCAGGCTTTAGGTCAACAGTTCATCATGTCTGTGAGTGCAAAAAATAGCCTGGCAAAAGAAAAGAGGCTAACTTAGTATAGCGTGAAGATTCTCTATATCTGGCACAAGAAAATGCAACTGTCATGTAAGGCAAATTTGGCATTTCATCCATTCACCGGCATCAGAAATTATAACCCCAGCATTTGAAAATGTTGTTTTTCACCTGAATAGAACACAATATTGAGTCTGAAATATAGTATAAAAGCTGGCCGAAATTCTGGACGTCCGTTGCTTCAATAGTCAAGATCACCAAGTGTTTCCTCTTTCCTTAAACACAGTAATTTGAGCTTATAAATTTGCCGAAGCAACCTGAAAACTGATTGAGGCAATTGGCAAAGGGAAAGCTGTGTTTCAAAGTTTATGTCTTAAGCCTAAGATCTTCTTCCAATTTGAAGCACACCATCAGGCTCAGCCATGAGATCTTGAGCCTAGATCTAAGCAATTGAAGAAGACAAGATCTAAGCAATTGAAGCAACAAACTGCCAGGATTTAAGCTTTTGCTTTTAAAATTTTACGGCTCAAAGTTCTGCATTTCATCTGAGTGAAATTCATAGTTTCAATCCATGGAGGATACATAGCACAAAGCTGGCCTGCCATTGGAGTGAAAAGAACAACCCAGATTTGTCCATCATAACAGCTATTTTCCTGTGGCAAATGGTGAGAACCCACTTGCCTTACACTACGTCGAGAAATAGCAATCAAATTGTATAATCACAATATCACCAATCCCTCACAAAAGGGAGCTGCATAATTCCAAACACGACATATATTTGTTAATTTGTCCCGAACAGTTAAATTTAATCATTCATCTCCTGTCACCAAAGTAGCAAAAGATCTGCATTTACATTTCCTTGTAGTGCACAAAGCTAGCACTTTCTAGTTTCCAAAACCTTACTGTTAACCTTGTGAAAATCCATGCCATTTCAGCACATTTTCCTTTAGTTATCTTACTTTTTGGTGAATTAAATGAATATTGGAACTTGGAAGCATTTATGGTGGGAAAATGTGCATAGTTGATACTTGGGCTAAAGTTATAGATTTATGGTTAATTGCTAATATGTTGCCCCTAGTTCATCAACTTTGGCTTTCATAGTTGTTTTGTTGTTGGTAGTTGAAGCTTGCTAATGGAGCCAATTGAAGCAAATTATTCCCCCTTGGAGTGGAAAGAAGCTTAGAGAGAGATGGCATGAAGAAAAAAATTAAGCAAAGAAAAGATCCAAAACAATGAGCTGTTGGCTGGAACTTTTGGCCGCAGCCAACACAGGAGGCAAAAAGGAATTGGCGGCAGCCAAGAAAAGCCTTGGCTACAGCCAACAGGAAATTACTGGTACTATGCGTTTTAAGGACAGCACACATTCTAGGTCGGATGATACGATATAAATAGAGGAAAAGGACTGAAAATGAGGAATCTGGACCTTAGGCAGCTGGTGTGCTAGGGTTTTGGGAGATTGAAGAACTTGGAGCAAGGAATTGAGCTTTGGTAGAGATTTAGAGCTCCTTCTTCTTGGTTTTTCTGCTATTCTTCCCTTTCTTTTCTTGCAATCTGCTATGGCTGTAATTTTTCTTCATAGTTGTGGTTTGTGGTTGATTATGAGTAGCTGAACACTTCATTCTAGGATTATTTTGAACTCTTGTATAGATTAACTCGATTAACTCCTCTTATTTTGTGATTAATGATAAATATGTGTTATTTTACTCGTTTCTTAATGCTTCTGAATGCTTGATCACTATTTGGTTGTTGTGTTCACTTGGTTGATGCTTGAGAGGGCTAGATTAAGTGTAGAACTTGGGTAAAATTGTGTAAGAAGTTAAAGTTTGCTTGTCGAATGGATGGTTTTGTTGGTAAGATAGAGATATACTTGCCAACCTTACATAGTCACTTTAGGGTTGAAGCTTAAATTTTGATTTTATTAATTGTAACAAGAGATTGAGCAGTTAATAAGATTAAACGCTTGTTCTTGACTTGAGAAAGCTTTTACAAGTACTTTATGAATCCTAGACTAACACATTTTTTTATTAGAAACACTTGTGAGAGGAGATAAATCAAAGGTTATGTAATGCAAGGGGAATTTTTTATCCCTCGAAGTTTAAGAATCAATTATTCTCACTACTTTCTAGTTTTAAATTTGTTTTCAAATTTACCTTCCCCATCAAAATTTGTTCAGTTCAACTTAATTAAATTCACTTAGTCTTTTGTTTGGTCCTAAATCTTTGAACAAGTTTCCATGGGAACAATCTCTACTCATAACTTTATTACTTGTAACGATCCGTGCACCTGCGGTGTCTCACTTACCATGGATTGATAGTAGTCAGAAGCTTTCAAGGGAGATCGGTACATATTTTCATGATAAAAGGAAGAACTCTGTAATTTGAGCATCTCTCAAGAGAACCACTTTTATAGATGTCTTCATAATTACTGCTAATATAAGTATCTATTACACCTTGAAAAAAATGGCTATCAGAATCATCATATGATAAACTTAGCTATAACACGCTCATGCTCAAATCAAAAGTTGCTGACAACAGGATATTTCCAACTATAGACTATAACGTTTCCAGGACAAACAATAATGAACCATTATACATGATGAAGTAAGCAATTAGAAGAACGAATTCCAATATTGGAAATGAATACTTGGGAGGAGAAATATACGCATATCAAGTGGGTAATGGAGACATCTGAATTGGGTCCAATGATTCTCCATTTGATAAATCTGACTTTCGTAGAGAATCTTTTCTACCTCGCTCCACAGCAGTTGCTTCATATATCCCTGCATAATTTAGTTATCACAATAATAAATTGTTTATATTAACTAAACAACGGAACTAAATCATACAAAATGGGCTGAAAAATTGCAAACTAAAACTATATTAAGATGATTTTCAACAAAGATATCCATTTTCAGAACTTGCAAAACCGATGGTGAAGCTATGTAATATGAATGCAAGATTTACTGCTTATAATGTTGAACAACTAGTACCCTATTTCTGTATGTATAGCAAACAAATCTTGTTCTCACAAGTGATAGAAGGGATGAGGCTGACTCCCTTCCCTTTAGGATGAACAATAAGCTTCCAGATCTCATGCCAGCTACTCTGCAGGCTTGTTTCTTATGACTTGCCCATTATTTTGGAGCCTTTTAAGGTAAGGTAGCTGTTGCATTTCATTTTCTGTTTTCATGATTCTCTATTCACGAACGTGCTCATTCGGGTGAATTCATAGTGATAGCTTGCTGTTAGCTCGGATTAATTAATATTAATTAGACAAAGGTAACAGCTAGAACTGTTAAGCTTCCTCTTTATAGGCAGAAAATATGCTAACATAGCTTAGGCCTAAAATTCTAAAAGAAACTCAAAGTCAAAAGGGCGTTATTCAAATCCCTAAATTGAATCCCAAGTCCCAAATCTATAAAAAAAAAAACCCTAATTTGGCATCTTCATTGCCTTACCTTACCTTCTGTAAACGGTTGGGTCTCTAGGTGAAAACGAGCCACCAGGCGTTCTTAAACATTGGAGCAATTACTATAAAACACTCTACAAGAGTTTTGGTAACTGGTAGGAATAAGGATGCTATGCTGTTACTTTGTGGAAGTGTGCAATCTACCTGATCCTCCTTGTGCTTGCATGGAGAACAAAACAAATATATTCAAGAGTGTCGCTTTGCCTTTCCAATTGACATGGCTAAGATTGTGTTTCTGCTGCTTTCCTTTGGTTTTTTGCATACGGTTGTTTCAAGGGCACTACTACTAGTATGAAGAAAAGATAAGAAAAGACAGGTTCTATATCTTTGAACACTTGGGCTCCCTGTTGTTGTTTTAATCCTCATATACAAATTCAGCTTTAGTTTTTCCATCCACATTACACAAAAGAGAAATTATTTAATGTAGATTTACTAATCACATTTTTGCACCCCGTCCTTGAAAAAAAAAAAAAAGAATATTTATCAAAATTGGACCATACTGAAGTGCAACATCCAATAGTTGGAAATTTCCATAACTCCTAATCCAGCTAAATTCTAATAAATCCAAATAAATATATATTCTGGATTGATTTTCTATGCCTAATCTTTGGATTTTCATCATAAATTGGACCATCATGTTATAAATCAAATAACCATACTTAGCTTCAATGTCCAAGTGTTAACAATGAATGGCAAAGTTCCGTAGAATTTCTGATGAAAATCCAAAGATTAGGTATAGAAAATCAATCCAGAATATATATTTTTTGGATTTATTAGAATTTTAGCTGGATTAGGAGTTATGGAAATTTCCAACTATTGGATGTTGCACTTCAGTAGTCTTTTCCAACATCCTTACCCGCATGTTCAATTGAAAATCTAACCACAAACAACAGATATCATACACAACGCACAATATACAATTATCAAACTGTTAAGCTCCAGATACAATCCGTGAACAATAAAAATTTTGGCAGTGACGTTCAACAGTAATAAGTGCAGGGCATACCAAATCCTAGAATCAAGCAGCAAACCATGAAGCCAGCAAGAGAAAAGTCCATCTTGTAGACAACCTCCATCACAATGATGCATGCACCAGCCACCATTAAATGCCTTGGCGAGGAGAAAACTGTGCAATCTACAAATCAAAAGTAAAATAAAATGACAGAGACTTTCACCCAGCTTCAGGACCATCAAAAGTGCTCTTTGATAATGAAATCTCAAGATTTTTTTAACTAAAAAGAGCTTTTATAAAGAAGGAAAAAGGGTACTTAAACTGGGAGGATAAAAAATCCTCATACAAATAAATGATATATAAACTTAAGTATTATCTTACATCATAAACAAACTTAAACCATCAGTCATGCCTTAACCAGATCAAACTTTCATGATTTTGGTTACAAATGAAATTTTTTCCGGCATCTGCATTGTCAGACAACAATATAGCAAAAAATTCATGTACACAGACTCTCATTTCATAAAAAACTGAGAAATAAATCCAGCTTTCCAATTAGGATGAATAAAAAAAATTTTGGCAGTGACGTTCAACAGTAATAAGTGCAGGGCATACCAAATCCTAGAATCAAGCAGCAAAACATGAAGCCAGCAAGAGAAAAGTCCATCTGTAGACAACCTCCATCACAATGATGCATGCACCAGCCACCATTAAATGCCTTGGCGAGGAGAAAACCATGTGCAATCTACAAATCAAAAGTAAAATAAAATGACAGAGACTTTCACCCAGCTTCAGGACCATCAAAAGTGCTCTTTGATAATGAAATCTCAAGATTTTTTTAACTAAAAAGAGCTTTATAAAGAAGGAAAAAGGGTACTTATAACTTGGAGGATAAAAAATCCTCATACAAATAAATGATATATAAACTTAAGTATTATCTTACATCATAAACAAACTTAAACCATCAGTCATGCCTTAACCAGATCAAACTTTCATGATTTTGGTTACCAAATGAAATTTTTTCCGGCATCTGCATTGTCAGACAACAATATAGCAAAAAATTCATGTACACAGACTCTCATTTCATAAAAAACTGAGAAATAAATCCAGCTTTCCAATTAGGATGAATAAAAATTTACTATTTTGTTGAAGGAAAACTAATCATCATGCAGAACCTTGTCTGATTATCAAAGTGGCATAGATAAATAATAATGAATATGCAAACAAACCACCTTTACTTACTCAAACTTTATTACAACTAGACTATCATAGCATACCTCTCCTCTGCAATACTGTCAGCATAGAATATCAATATGTTTCCAAAAAGAATAGTGCTAAAAAGCCCATGTTGAGAACGGCAACCTTCCACTGCTGCCAGAAGGTGATCCCTGAAGGACTCCAAGGGGAGGAAGAAAGGAAGAGGCGTTAGAGAAATCATAAATGTCACTCAAACCAAAACCACAATATCTGCATGTGTGTATATAGTGAGTTATAAACATTCGAGAAAGCATGAATTAACAGACGCTAGGGAATAGCATTAAAGAACTCACTATGATAATGTCCCACATGGCAATAGGAAACATGAAACAGGTTGCAGATGCAATAGTCAAAGCATGAAGTCGCCTTTTAAGTTGATTCTGAAGACATGAGACATTCAGAGTCAGAACGAAGATGCATACAAAACAATCAACACCAAAGAAGTACACTGCCATTTTTAGTCACTGTTACTACCTTGATCGAAACACGCCTTGCAATCACCCTTCTCAGTGCTGACAAAATTCCAGCAAGGATGGGGACCAAAATTCCTTCAACCCCCAAACTCTGTTCAGTCTGAGCCCCGGAATCATCTCTATCTTCCCATGGTAACTTTCGGTTAAGTTTAAATAGCATTGATATGAAAAATGCATGAAATAAAGAAGCATGAAACACATGACAAATGCAAGAAAAGATATTTGAAGGCCAGAACCTTTAGGCCTAAGAAAAGAACTCAGCATGTATAAGGATATAGAATGGAGAATATGTAGCTGTGGCCCACCCTTCTGACAACAGGTAAAATGATGCCAACATTGCAACTAAGCCACCTATCTGGTTGAAAATAAGAAAAACTTATCTTGTTAGAAAAGAAATTGTCTAAAAGACACACTAATTGGTCATAACAGAAGGTGCATTATATCTGTCAACAACAGGTAAACAGATCTCAACATGGCAGCTGGGCCATCTACCTGGCTGGAAATAAGAAGTTTTCATCCAATAAATAATCTTTCAAAGACATGAATCAGTCATAACAATGGTTCAAAATTATCATAAACTTAAAACTAATGCTACAATTTGGACTTAGCTTTCTTTATCTGTTAGTTGGGAAAAAAAATAATTAACCACGAACATATTTACATCCTGATGATGTTTTCAAGTGCAAGACAAAAACCAGATTTTCGTTGGCCACAGTAAAATAATCAATGAATAGCAAGGAAAATTTGGAACATCAAACGATAAGATAATTGTATAATTTACTTGGAGCAAGCAGTATCATTTATAGTGAATATGGTAGAATACAAGTGTTACCTTTTTCCATAAATGACTTCTCCTGCCATACAACACAGCAGACAGTACTCCAAGGACAGCACCAGAATACTCAGCCAATATTGATCTAATTTGATAAAGGAAAAAATAAAGAAAAATATACACATATTCAGTACACAATAAAATGTGGGCACAAAGAATTATGAAAGAAGACATCTATAATTATGGTCAGAAATAAGTTATGTTATGGTGGTAAAGGACATAAATTGTGCATGTCATATGACTAATAAGAGATGGAGGCTCAAAATGCCTGAGCTTTTGTCGAGTATCATGTGGCTGAAATAAAGATTTAGTAAATTGAATTTTTGCCAAAAACTCTATTATGTTTAAACTTAAGACTTATATAGAAGCTCAAAATATAGGTATTATACTATCAATCCCTTTGCAATGAGTTTCAACTAAACCATGTCCTACGTGCTCAAATTTTCTAACAAAATGAAACCATTTATCAAGAGTCTAGATAGTTATCTATGCTTATATGAGCATCCTACAAACTGAAATATGCGACTCCTGAAGATGATATTGCACACTAAAAATAAAATGCCTGGCAATAGGTATAGCAATTTAAATAACAAGACCAAGCATCTGAAACTTTAAATTATCATATTAAAATATTTTCAAGCATCTCACAAAACCAACCTAACCGGTCCACATGACTTCAGTCCCTTTCCCCATAAGATGAGATACAAAGCTGTTATACCACCATTTATTACAGAGGGCACAACCTGTAAAACAACAGGAAGTAGATGAGGAACAATGCTATTATGATAAAAATACTTGTCTCATTCATTACCCAAAAAAACATACTTGTCTCCTTTAATGCTCTTCAAATCTTCTCTGAAGGAAATAAAAATTTAATTTACCTGTGTATTAGAGAGTGGTCTACCCTTCCAAGGCTTTTGCAAAATCAAAAAGAAAATTGATGATGGAGCCAGGCAAGCAAATAGAAAAAGAATAACAGAAGCCCCAGTCTGGGATATGTAGCGGTACATGGAGTATATTGACCATATTCTCAGGAAATTTGCGATGATATGGATTATCTGCAAGGGTGGTGCCTCCATAAAAATATAAATATCATCAGCATAACAAGAACAAACGAAGTTATAAAACATCAAAGACCAAACCTCAGGCTAACAAATAAAAAAAAAAAATCAATGCATGCAGCCCAGCAGACAAGCAATGTGCATGGCACAGTACTAAAGTAATAAACAACTGATCCTTGAAATGGCTAGGACTGATCCAAAAGTGACCCAGTGACTGCAAAAGTACTTGAAAATCCAGCTGAATTTAATGATCTCAGCTACAAGGATACCAAATAAACTTGTCCTATATCAAATACATTCTAACACACCAATACAACAAACAGCTAAAAGCCAATAAACTATTCCAGTCTCTATTGAAACTGAGCAAACACTCAAGAGAGAAGTTACCAGCATTAAATAATAGGAATAGCTTCAGATACTAAATCAACTACTAAGATCATTTCAGATTTTCGCTCACTACCATTAATACAAAGCGAAGTCCATACAACAACTAAAATGTCGTGCACCAAAGTCTAACTAATGAAACAGAAGCGTACCTAAAATTTATTACACTCATTCACGTTCATAACCAAAATTTAAGAAACCAATTTTTTCTTTTGTTACCTGAAATGAGGAGGAGACCCTCGATCATCTGAGAGCTGGTTAGGAGACATCTTTGGTAAACACAAGAGATTGAGCCAATGTCTATGAACACAGCGTAGCATACATGCGAAAGCAGTAACCACTGAACAAAATCAAAAATTAATCCGTTGTCATCCTTTATGGCGGACAGATCGTGTTCACAATCAGACCTTGCCTCTCCGTTCAAACTCAGGTTACGAAGGTTCAGACTTCGTTGAGTCTGGCCTGAAGCTTCAAAGTTTAGATGTTTTTTTTTTTTTTTTTGGGGGGGGGGGGGCAACGAAGCGTTCGTTCGGACATTCTTCTCCCAGGGAATTATCTGTTCAGTACCGAGGCCGTTCAAATATGGGCCCAAGAGAAAATATCGTGGGCTTTGATTGGGCTCTTTACCATATCATTTGTTTAGTAACAATATTGGGCCAGTCTTTCCTAACATGACAAACCAATCAAGGTTCAAATTCTATGAAATTATAAGTTAAATAAATTAATTTAAAAAATAATAAATATAAAAGATAAAATAAATTACCTAAGGTCAAATTCAAGCCTAAATTTTTCTTTTATTAAAGATAAATGGGAGTAGGAAGTATGAAGAATAATTGATAATTTTTTAATAATAAAATTTGGCTGATTTGTCCAACTTTTACTCTAGGAACATTGTCCACCACAACCATAATTACTTTTATTTTATAATTCTATGTACTACTTCTTTTTCTATTTATAAAATTCATTTGTAAAAGATTTTATAAATAAGACTAAAAGTAGTGGCTTTTTTCTTAACCAAAATAATGTACTTTTTCTAGATTTTAATGTATTGACACCTGTTCCTATGCTGCTGACATGAGCATCCTGCTTAGGCTAAAATCTTACCCAAATCCAATGTGGGAAGACTGCACTCTTTTGAAGCGATATTATGAGCCTATGAGCGAAAATTTTGCTCGTACTTCGAACCCTTTATCCTCAATCGAGAGAGGAAAGGAGGGCACTAGCCTGTGAGTTGTGTCTCAGTCATTATACGGATAGTGGCAACAGTTTTCTGAAAGCTTTTCGCCATTGAAATTCTATATATACTTTGAAGGGTAGTTGTAAGTTTCTGTTGCGATGGTTTCTCTTCTTTCTTCCTTCCGATCACATTCTCTCTGCGGGTCCAACATTCCTTCTTCAAGGATCTCCGCGAAGCCTAGAGCTGTTCTTACTAAGTCCAACCACATGCAGGTCCCTTACGAACTGAAGCAGCTTCCCTCCGGGAGCATGGAGGTACTTGTTCAGAAAGGTGTTGTAACAGAAGAGGTTACAGAATACCCATCAGTTCATGGAAGTTACCATGCTGCTTGGTGCTGGGCTGAACACTGGCTGCCTTTCTTCTCTGCTTTTGGGTACGATTGCTATGCTATCAGCCTGATAGGACAGGTTGGTCTCTCTATCTCTTTCGGGGTAGAATCTTTTGATTTGAGAGGAAAGTCCTACTTTTTATGCTATTTTCTTTAACCAGTTCCTCAATAGTTGAAATGCTTGGAAATTGCGAATGTAATGTCAAATTTAACACTCATTTTATTGGTCAATAGGTGAGTTTTACTAGCTTGGCTGAACTTGTACAGCGCGGTCTCTCTGGGCATAAAGAGTTAGAGTTAAATGGGAATGTTTCCTCTGTTATTTTATGTGGCATTTCAAATGTTACTTTTTAATGGAGTTGTTTGGTTTTAGTAAAACTCGTGAAGTCATACTTGTCTGTATGTTGTACATTGCTGAAGCCCCAAGATCATTATAAGTTGGGTTTAAAATTAAGCGCCCAGACTGCAGAGTCAATTTATTTCATAACTGCCAAGTGAAATATCTCAAAGTTATCTTTATGAGGATATGCGTTGAACTAAAGTCGATTATAAACCTTTGCTTCTCAAAAGATAAATAAATGATCTTGTAAAAGAAATATCTTAGAACCCGCCAACTGCGAAGCTGATGAAGAAGTCTTGAATGTGTGATATTATGACAGCCAATTATGACAACCAATGGTTGCTTTTTGTTATGAAGAGTTAGGCATGAGCTGTACATTAACACTTCCGCGTTAATAAATAGTGCAAAATCTCTTGTTTTATAGGTTCCTTAGTTATCAAATTTCACCTCTCTCTTTTCCTTATGTCATGCTGCGGTTTTGTAGCTCCCAAGGCACTGAAATTGCATGTAGCAAATTAATTTACACGATAGTGCGGACTCAAAAATGCCAAAACATACAGTTGAACTTAATGAAACTGTCTCTAACATTAATGTCATCATTACTGGTTGACCTTTTCATTTAGATGGGTTAGACACAGATTGCTACAACAAGACCTAAATTTATGCCTTTGTTTACAGGCTTGCGGTTCTTATATTCTACCTCTAGAATTCTCACACTGTTCCCTTGATTCTTTTCTTCTGTTCTGACATATATTCTTCCTGGTCAGGGGGAAAGTGATACGCCTTCAGGTTCGAATGCTGGCACACTTCAGGTATGATAGGTCTCCCTTTATTAACTATAATTCTAACGTATTTGAATTCACTTTTATTGACTGGACAGATTCCAATATGGATGATGCTCTTAGGATGACATGTTTGCTCCAAATTCTGCAGTAGACACATGCAAGAGACATTGCAGATTTCATCAATAAAAATGTCACATCCCCACCTGTCTTACTTGGGCATTCTTTTGGAGGGCTTATAATCCAGTATTATATTGCCGCATCAGGCAGTGACCAACTTAGAGGTACTTTCTTCTTCTAGATTGTTCATGCGTGTGCATGAAAACAAATAGGGAATGAGACCCAACATCAATTCTTGAAATTTAGATGCAAGACAGACACTTTGCTTTTTGGGAAGGGATGGTATAATTTCTAGTATTTTTTTTCTTGGCCGTAATTTCTTTCTGACCAAGAGTAACTTATTTCATACATAGCCAATCCATAAACTCATATTTTGGGTGATCAATGCATATGCACTAGATGTCTTTTGTGGGTGTATTATTTTATGGATGTCTTGTATATACCCGAAATATTTTAGGTGTCTTTTGTGAGTTCTAGATGTCTTTTTTGGATGTATTATTAAATTTCACAATACTTCTTCCTTAGTATGTTTCTTTTCATTTATTTTGTTAGAAATGAAAAACTTGTACCCAAAGCTTCAGGGAGCTGTCCTCATTTGTTCTGTGCCTCCTTCTGGTAATAGGTGACTAACTATACTTCCAATGCTTTGAGACTGTTGTTAGAGATACGGAGAGAAAGAGAATCTCTATATGCAATTGCCCTGACAGATTATTTCTTTACATTCTTTAGTGGGCTAGTTTGGCGCTATCTCTTTTCCAAGCCAATTGCTGCCTTTAAGGTACACAAACTGGCTTTTTCAAGAAATATGATTTTTCTAGAATTTGCTTATATAAAATATATATACCCTTTGCTCAAATATATCGTGCGCACATACAACCTGGCAGGTCACACGTAGCTTGGCAGCAAAAGCCTTTCAAAACTCTCTCTCTCTTTGTCGAGAGACATTTTTCTCAGCAACCATGGAGGACCATATTGTTAAAAGGTTCGTTTTTCTGGAAAAATTCTCCCCCAGACGAATCTATTGAAAATGAAAAATGATGCTGAATAATAAGTTCGTTGGGTTTTAAAATTTTTTTCTTTTTTTGGCCAACCAATGATTTTTATAAGATTTCACACATTAAAATATCTTCGCAAAACAAAATCTATGGGAACTGTTAGTGGAAATGAATCAAGTCATGTAACCTTGTATATTGCAACAAGAGCTTCATATAAAGGCAATGGGGGTAAAAAGGAAGAAACTCCTTTTGAAAAATGTGAGTCTAACAAAAAACCTGGGTATCAGTACGAGCAAAACTGAAGAAAGCATGTGATTTTGTTTAAATGGAAACGAGTTGGTTTACTTGGACTAATAGGTTTATTTGGAATAAATATAATTAAAATGTACAGAATGGAAAAATTATTTGTCCAAATTGATAATTACAGACTAGTTTTTGAAACCCCCAAAAGACCGAGGTTTTAATTCTATGAAAATAATGGCTGATCAGTATTTGTTTATCTGCAAATTTCCTGAGTGTTTCTGTGTTGTGACGTATGGCCACTAGTATTAATATCTTGTTGACACTTGACACTACTGCTTCACAACTTAAAAGTTTCATTCAACACTCAATTGCAAACTCTATTCTGAACTTAATTCTATTTGGTTGGTTACTCATGGCCATTAGTTTGACATATAAACATTGTGGCTTGTGGGTGTACTATTTGCGCATCATGCATCTTTTTTTTGTTTCCCCTTTAAAGATCATGGATCATTATAATGGCACATCATTTTGTGAATAATGAGCCTCAACTGTGTATACTGCACGGCACACAAATGTCAAAAAGAGCATACAGATTAAAAGAAACAGTGAGTGTACAGTGTACAAATGTGTGTGTGTGTTCAGAGTTCAGACCCCATAGCTTTTGATTTCCTTTATTATTGTTTCAGATATCAAGAGCTAATGAAAGAAAGTTCAAGGGTGCCATTGTTTGACTTAAGAAAGCTGAATGCGTCACTTCCAGTGCCTAAAGTGCCGGATGGCTTTCTTGACATTCTTGTTTTGGGTGCAAATGATGACTTCATTGTGGTAAGCGCTGTGTTCAATATATAAATTGGTGACTAGGATTATATTTTATCTGGCATGACAGATATGCTAATTTTCTAAGTACTAAGAAATCCGACATCTAAATATTATATCGTTTTTAAAAAGGACAGAAGTCAATATTTATATGTCGTTTATTAATTATGACGCATGTGGCGTATAAACATTAGAATTTCCATACAGTTACTCAATACTTATATATCTTATTAATAAAAAAGCAACTCACCTAAATATCAAAGACCTGATTAGAAACTTTGGAAGCCACATCCCAACAGTGAACTCATGAGGATGAAGAGTATAGACCCAACATTAGATCTCAAACCCCCCCCCCTTTGCGGTAAAGAGAATATTCTACCGAGGCAGAACAACACCAGATAAAGCTAATGTCCTATCTATATAGTAATGCATTATTCTTTAATAAAATCTGTTGCACAATACTGATATTTCCTTGGTCTTGAAATTGAACTGCTTCAGCCTTCAGCCTAAGCTTCCATTTTTTATTGGTTTCAGGATGCTGAGGGTCTCAAAGAAACAGCAAGTTTTTATGGGGTGCCACCTGTATTTGTTGAAGATGTTGCCCATGACATGATGTTGGACGTTTCATGGGACAAGGGTGCAAAAGTCATCCTTTCATGGCTGAATGATTTAGGTAAGAAGGATGCATGAAATTGCAAAAGAAAGAAGAATATCGTGTTACCCTGCTCATTTTGTTGCATCTCAGTTTATTTTCAATTGAAAGTAAACTTAATACATCAGATCTTGACCGAAGTTTCCAATAATCACCTTTTTACCTAGTTATATCCTATGTAAACTTTCTGTGTTTGTTATCAACCCGAAAACAGAGATTATCTACCTATTAGTGTTGAAGATTTTCATTGTTATCGATTAGTTTCCTTTTTATTTGGAAATAGTGAGGTGCGGGCAGAATGATAAATACGTCTTGGACTAGAAGATTCAGATTCAATCCGTCAAACCTTTTCCTTTTACAGAAGTATGTGCTTACTTTGTCTCTAGAGAGTTGGTAGGAGGCGTTTCAAGCTGCAAGTTTATGAGCTGGGTTATACCATTCCAATCTGTGCCATTTATTAATGCAACTCCATTTTTTTGAGCATTGAAGTGAATTTTTTTGGCATGTCTTTTGCTGTGGTATTTAAATAATGGACGGATTTGATGAATCGAACATCTGACCAAAAATATATGAATTAATATACTAACCCCGGTCCTTAATAGGTTCTTTTGGAGATTCAGTTTGGTCCTAAATATAATATTATAATCGAGTTTGTTTTTCATATTTATTTATTTTGTCCCCAAGTAATATTTATGGTAATTGCAAGATTTATTTCAATGCATATAATTAACAAATATATTTTTAAAAAAATGGTGCCTATTTATTATAAATAATTAACTTGACTAATTTTTTTAATATTTCCAAATTAATTATCTAGTTAAGGTAATGTATTGCTAATAAAAGAAGTTAAACGGGTGAAGTCAAAACTCAAAAGCACATGGTCATATAATTTTATACAAAATTAAAGTTTGGCTGTTTAACAAGTTGGAGAAATTGTAAATAAAGACCCCTAAATATGTAAAATTGTGATTTGGGACTCTGAATTTGAAAAATAGCAAATAAGAATCTGGTTTTACTTTTGTAAATATGACATGTAGATGAAATGTTTGGGATGTTTCTCAGCCAAATTATGATTTGATCTACTAAAGTTGTCATTTATTTAAATAAACTTGTCATTTCTCAAAGTCAACTTGTTATTTGGTTAAGAGGCATTTCAGATATTTCACTCACATTTTATATTTGTAAAAGTGGCAACAGGTCTTTATTTGCCATTTTCTAAATTCAAAGTCTCAAATCACAATTTTACATATTTAGGAGTCTTTATTTGTAATTTTTCCTTTTAAGTTCATAAAGTATTTTTTTTAGTCATTTAGTGTTAGTTTTAAATGATTTTTTTGTCATTGTTATTTAAAAAAACAATATTTATATTAAATTTCCTATATTCAGCATATCAAATTCTTTAATCATATATATGTTTTGTTTCTAAAATATTATAATTTAATGATAAACTTACATGGAAAAGAATAAACCACATAACTATATGATTAAACTAGAGAACTTGATATATGTTAAAAACTTAATCTAAATATTTTTCTTTAAAAAATTAACTTAACATATAAACGTGTGAAATTATTTTATCACTCAACATTTAAAATTAACAAGATTAGAAAATTGCAAAAACAATTCATTCTAAAAGGAGCAATGACAGTATCGTCAAAAGCACAGTCACGGGACATTGTAATTTGCATATTTTAAAGCGATAATTTTTGGGGAAAAGGAGAAAAAAATTTAATAAGTTTGATTTATAAAATTAAAAAAAAGAAAGTTAAAGGTTTTTAAGTAATTTTTGGTTAAAGTATACATTTTGTCTTTTAATTTTGTATGAGGTTTTAATTTTGTCTCTTAACTTTAAAAAGTATACATTTAGTCCTTTAACCCTAAAATTATTAGGTTTGAATGATGATTTTTTAAATCATTATTTTTTGTTAACAATTTTAAAGTTGAAGAACTAAAAATATATTTTTTTTAAAGTTAAAGGATGAAATTGAAACTCTATAAGATTATAGGGCCAAATATATAATTCAGCCTTAATTTTTTTGCTATTTTATATTACATTTTTTATTAAAATTTTATGACCCCATTTTTTTAATTTTTTAAATTGAGTTTATTAAAATTTTTCTCTCTTTTTTTTCTACTTACCAAACATAGGGTAAAAACCCGCATTGATTTTTTTTTTTTTTTTGCATGAATAAGAACAACACTGCTCGAAGAAATGTCGTTGCTCTCATCTAGAAAGACCTAAAACCCATTTAGGGCCTGTTTGGGTATCCCAAAACCGTGGTTTCAGAAGCACTTTTCCGCAAAACGAGATAATCTCCTTCACATATTTACTTCGTAATCCGTAAAAGCACTTCTGAAACCATGGTTTGATTTCTATCCAAACACACCCTTAATCCAATATTTCCTCCGGTGCTTAATACAAAAACTTATTTCACTTTATTTTCATCATAAATAATACCTTAATTCATTTTGTCTCTTATATTTATTTATTTATTCTCAAGATAATTATTATAGTAATAATAGCTCTAACCCATACACTTGATTAGTAAGAGTATTTTAAGAAAAACAATACTTATTTCTTACAATTAACTAACTTAATTTCTTTAATCTACTCAAATCAATCAACGAATCCTTATATTCATTAAGACGTGAAACAAGCATAACACAAATAAAGTATCAGTATTAACATAACCCTAAAAGAAATAAGATTAAATTCATGAACACATTTGGCAAGCTCACTCTTTTATGGCTAAAAATAATAATCTAGGAGCTTCACGCCATGATAAATACTCAGGTGGTATGAATAAGATGGGATGTTGATAGGAGTCCGAGTTCCGAAAAAAAATTACTCTTACATACTAGTTTTGATGTGAAAACAAGCATCAAGTAAAATCCAAAGTCAAAATTTTGGCCGGGATTAAACACAAGTTCTAATTTTCTAACAGACAAACGCTGCACATGATAATGCTCTTCATCTTCACAGCAAAAAGGAAAAAAATGACATGATCTTCAAGCTTCTGCGATCGGATACTCGAATACCACATCTTTCCCAGTGAGCTTCCTGTAAACTCCAGAAAAGGTCCCCAGTTTGTATTCAGTGTTATTGCGTTCCTTAGGGTCCAAGAAAACCTGAAATTTGGCACATTACAAGGGGAAAATGGGTTACTAACACATTAGAAGATGCCAACGAGAGAACTAAACTTTGGATTTACATCAACTACACAAACAATGACATGCCTTCATTATCTTTGATCCATCGACACGGAATCTGATTCGCTTGCCAACGATTTCAGCAGGATGCACAACATCCTCCAAGATGGCATCATGAACAGAAGTTAATGTGCGAGAGCGTGGTCGCTGGACAGCAGAGCCTTTCTTCGGCGGCCGCACAATCCTCCTAGTGGCAATCAAGACAACATCCTAAAATTTGGTAGGATCTCATGTTATACAATGTGGTGAATTAGGAAAACCATCAATTGGATAACCAACCATAAAACAGAAAGAAAATACAATTAACAAAACTTAGAACAGAATTGAAAAGGGAAAGTTAACGGCACAGTAATATCAAAGTAAGGTTCATCAGTAATAGCTGACAACCTTGCCACTGAATTTTTTCTCCAACTCTCTGACAAGTCGAAGATGAATTTTGCGAAATGCCTTTCTCAACCTGTAAGGCACATAGATAACAACAGCCTTGCGATTTCCAGAGACATCCATTTGGCTGCAAGAAAAGAGCTTCCCTCAGACTGGGTTAACCAAACATTCAGAAGGTAATCATAAATTCATACATCAGTTATGCCGAACTTGAGTAAAAATGCGCAGGTGAAAAATTAAAATATATTCTAGATTATATTTTGTCCAAGTACAGCTATACTGTGTATGCAGTAACATCCTTACACTGCTTGATTTATATAGAGATCTTTCAGGTCACTTTTTAGCTCCTGATTAGTGTTCTCCAAGTCAAAGAGGTACTGCTCAGACATGAGGTTGCAGCATATTAGTTTCCAGGAAAAACAAAAAGGATGAGATAATAAAATATGCTAATAATAAAATGAAATTAACCTGTGCAACAGTCTCCTCAAATTCAGTGGGCTCAGCATCCTGATCTTTGTGGATTTTCCTCCTTGATGTGTACATTTTGGCCAATCTGTTCCACAGTACATCTCGTTAGTCCAAAAAATAGCGACCAATTCATCATAAATATCTCATTAGTTTCAAGATCAGACAGACCCTTAATTAGATAGAAAATTACATCAAATGATCAAATACTTCAGGTTTGGTCTAGCAACAATAAGTGGGCTATAAGGGAAGGAATAATTCAGATAAAAAATAAGCCGCTGTATAAAAAAATATCATTAGAAATGCAACAGTAATACATAATAACATTATTTCCATTTTTCCAGTATTAAACCAGACGAAGAAACTATTTTGCTTGCTCGCGTGTTCTTATAAAAATTAATGGCGGGAGACACACGTACATACAATGGGCTTCACAGTGATCTAAACACAGTTAGAACTCCTAATTGGACATAATTCAATCACTAAATTGTTGATAGTGGTACACATACAAACAAGCCAATAAATGGGACCAACCAGATTAAGCCTACATCAATCCCAATAAGAAAATAACTATTAAGAAGCCCAAAGCACTCTGGCATCAGAAAAGAAGGGATAGTGTTTGGTAACCAGAAACCAAGTAAATGAGAAGGAAAATAGCAAATCTGTAAGTTCAGTTTCAGAAATGCCCAATTTTCAACAGTTCGAGCGAGAACCGAAGAGCAAAAGGATTATAAGAGGTTGCAAAAAGTGCAGCTAAAAAACAACGAACGTAGAGGTGGAAGATACGAGATGACGCACCAAAGGGCGAAACGGCTATGCGCTGAGATGAAACCTAGCCTCCGCCGGCGGGAGGATGCCAGATAAAAGGCTTTTATATGAACGCGGGCCCTTTTTTCTTTTTGTTTTTGATAACACTGGACTGCCTTGCTTTATGACAATGTTTTCTCTGTTTTGGGCCAGTCCTAATGTGCGTAATTCTTTTTTACAAAATTATTTTCATCCATATTATTATTAATAATATAAAATTAAAAATTATGAAAAAAAAAACATAGCATTCATAAAATATGAATAATATTGTTCATAAAATATGAAAAATATGACTTGATTTCTAAATTTAATAAACTTTGAAAAAAAAACACCTCGTGGAACATCAAATGTAATGAGGAAAATCAATGTTTTTTTTACTTTATACAATTATTTGAATGTAGCATTATCAAGTTATATTTTAGCATTATTAAACACAATTGAGGTTATTTCTTCTAACAAGATTCTTTTATCCACAAAATTTAAACCATTAACCATACCAAAAAAGAGATTTAAATATCGGTTCGTTAAAAGAAAAATTGAATATCGATTCGTTAAATTCAACTCACATTAGTACTAAAACTAACACTTTTGATTGCGTAGTGTACATGATTGTGGGAGATGGTGTATTTGAGTGGAAAAGAGCCAACACCAATACATGTTCCAGTTGTAGTTGGTTAACTCCTCCCAAGAACATTTTAGACTTTTGCAAATTAGCCTCAAGACCAATGCCAGATGAAAAATCTTCAAATGGTGTCATGTGGATATCTACAGATTCATAGTTTCCTTAAGAAAACATTAATAAGTCATCTGCAAATCAGAGGTGAAACTAGATCTCCTTGTCTAACATTCCTTCCCGAAGAAAGAAACACTTCATCTCACCATCAATATCTATGGAAAAGTAGGGAGTAGTGACACAAAACATCAATAAGCTGATGAATTTAGTAGAAAATTTCAATTATTGAAGCTTTTATTGCCCAAATCCACATTCAACAGCACCATACGCCTTTCTCAGGTCTACTTTAAGAAGGCATCTTGGAGGGATATTCTTTCTATTTTAGGCTCTAATAATGTCTTGGCATATTAAAATGCTGTGCTATAGTGATATCAATACAGACAAGGGCCGAAAATCACCTAGAGAACTGGGGACATCCTCCTTAGGGATGAGAGATATCACTATGCAGTTCAGTTGCTTAGGAAATTTGCTCTTGGTAAAGAATTCCAGGTCCTGGTGATTTGTCAGCTCTGATTTATTCTTCTATTTTACTATATGCACGATAAGATATTTGAGGATACAAAAGGCTGCATCTTGGTTTTATTTATTACATAGAAAAGTCATCTCAGGTACACTTTTATAAACAAGAAACGAATTGGAGCCCAAAAAAAAAAAAAGAAATAAAAACAATATCAGAAACATCTATAAGCGAACCCAAAAGAAACCACCTATCTTTCTTTCTATATGGAATTTGTCACTCAGTATGCTTTGATCTCATTACCCGTGAATTAATATACACCAAACTGCAACTAATAGTTGTACTGTAGTCCAAGTTCACTATTACAACATAGGCTGCATAAAGCATGAGGCAAGCTTTACCAGTTCCCCAAGCAAAAACTAAATGGCCGTGCGTTGGAACCTAGGAAGCTTGTAAAAATCTGCTGTTAACACCAGTCCTATACAGATGCAATTTGGATGCACTGGTAATACGAATCTTGGTGTTGGCGGCTGCAAAGAGAACATTCCCTTCAGTGACCACAAGTCCTTCAAGTGATCCGGCACCCATCAGTCCTTCCCCTGCCACAACCAAAAAGATGGAAGGACCTGGGACTGCGGGAAAGGTCACTGTTTCCCCTTGAGGAAGAATACAGCAATCAACCTCAAACTCATCAAACGGTGGTATGTACCTCGTCACATATGGATTTAGAGGAACTCCTTGCAAAATCTCAGGAGAACCCTGCAGTGAATATAGATAACAGAAACAATGACGTCAACCAATGAGTAAAACATAATCATGCCACTATTAATATCAATAATGAGGCAATGTTTACAAAACTGATTTGTGTACATGAGCAAGTTGGTAAAGTAAAACGGATGGTCCCTCTTTCAGGGATTTGGAACCTCAAAATCAATGCAAAAGTACATAACAAGGTGCATCATCAATAAGTCATGAAATAATGCGACTCATTTCCCAAACTTTATACAATGCATCAGACCTACGTTTAGTTTCTTAGGAAAATGAGTATTGATATCTCCATTGCACGTCTTTTCTTCGCTTTGAAACTGAGGCTGTCAATTTTCTAAATCTGAGACGATCAAAAATCAAAATCCCTCTTTTAAGTTCCTTCCAAATGATGGTGTTTAAGACACAGCAGTAAGCATTGCTTCTTTGCCGAGTGCAGGGAAAGCCAACTGATATAAAGCTAGGATCAGTTGAAAAATGAAAAATCAGAAGAATCAATAGCCCCACTAGTATTGTGTCTACACTGATTTTTCTTTCAGTTCTCTTCATCGGGGGGAAAAAAGAGTTCCAATATGCCAGGAATGTGCAAATTTTGACCACAGGCTCCTGACCAGGGATCCTTCCTATAGCATTTATCATGGAAGGGGTGATAAGAAAATATATGGATCGCTCATTCTGCTCTACAGTATCTAATAAAATTAAAAAATTGAATAGTCTCCATATATTCCCCAGCCTAGTGAGACATATGATCTCTAGCATGTATCATCCTACCAGGGGTAAGCCTGGATTACATGGTTAACAAGCAATTCTCAATGTTTAAGCCAGATATTACCACCTATCATGATAAAGTCTTTCAAGGAAACTTGAGTTTCTAAAACAAAAATCCAGTAACAAGCATAGCGTAGATCTATCACTCACCTGTTTGTAAGTGAGCATGGAACACAGAGTCTTAACGTCAATGTATTTTGGCGTAAGGCCAGCTCGCACAACATTGTCTGAAGTTGCCATGCATTCAATGCACTCACCACATAAATATGCATGTGGTTCATTTGCCCCAAGATATAATGCTTCACCAGGATTAAGTTTAACATGGTTAAGAAAGAAGGCTGCTATGACCCCAACATCAGCTGGGTACTGCCTTTCCAACTGCAGAACCAGCTTCTCCTTATCTGTCAACTGCCTCACCTAATGCAAAATGAGAATATTGTGGCATAGGTTATCAATTGGTCATGCTGTCAACGTATAGTCATAAACAGATTATCAATAAAGTAACAATATATAATTTTGATAATACAGTAAAGAGATTAAAGCATCTGAAAGGCAATATCAGCTAGATGTTAAAGCTGCTTTAATGCCCTATGTCTCAGTAATGCAAAATAGGGAGGAACGGAAGCAAGGAGTTCAGCCTGATTGTTTCCAATATCAAAGGGACCACTTTTAGATAACAATAGACAAGACTGCAAACTTCTGATCCTCTCCAAAGAGAAGATAACGTCAACAATCCTAAAGGTAAACATTTTTGCTTTCACAAAATTAGCTATAACTCCCAACTGGTATTATAGGATAAACTGCATTGCATTGAAAGATTAATCGTGCATATAAGCTAAATTTGTAAATTGTAACAATAAAGAGAGCATGGTATCTACCAACCTGACTTTCCTTATGCAGGCGACTTTTCAATCTGTTTACTGCTTCAGTCACTTTCTCTTTACTCTCTGACATGAGTTTGGTGAAAACTTCCCGTAAAACAGCTTTTATTTTCCCTTCACCATCCTGATCACTAACTTTTGAGACCGAGCTTGCACCTACAGTGCCAACTAACTCCACAACCTCAGGAACACTACAAAGCACAGCCTTCAGCTCCTGAATAGAAAACACAGATATTGTTCACTTGCTCCAAGTGAATAACATCACAAATATGCATTATAAAAGCTAAACAAAATATCTGCATATTTACCATAAGAAAACTGTAGCCCAAAAAAGAAAGATACCAATATGTGGCACATGGAAATACATGGGGTCTACCAGGACAAAAAGCAGATACTTGAATTCTGTACATGATTAGAAGAACAGAACTCACTCCACATTAAACTGAACTCACATAAATGGAATATTTTGGTTCTTAAGCAGTCAACTGAAGCTTGGCTATATTGCTTATTTTAACTAATGGATCACAATGTGGCGAATTAAGATTTGAATCTCCACTAAGAGAAGTACCTACATCTAGTTCCTGCCCATACCTCAAATAGAATTGTCTCAAATAGGAGAATACACATGTGCAATCCAAAAAAAACAAAAAAAGCCAAGGGGTATAAATAGTCATCCAGGTCAACCACTATAACATAATTACATCATCAAAGAAAAATCCAGATGGTAAATCCCATCCAATAGAAACTGCAAGCAAAAGCAATCTAATAGTGTGATGGGCACACATTAACAGATCTACAGTTCATGGCAAAACTTCCACTTTCTGCACAGAACTTAAATTTAATTTGTTATATATGAAGTTATTAACTCAAACTTTTGTGACTTGATAAGTTCACGAGATGTTCTAACTGCCTTGTTTGGTTGGCTATCAAAGGTTACACCAGAAAAGAGCATGTGAACTAGTGTTGCGTGATTAACATATCCATAAAAAGTTTAAGGAATAAAGATGACCGAATAGCATCATTATGGGAGATTAAGATCTTCTCTTCTAATCACTTAAAGTACAACCATACCATTTTAAAGTCAAGTAAAAGGTTTTCCAACTGCACATAATTTCTCAATAACCCCATCAAGAACTCTAATTTGCAAAAACACCATACGCATCAAAACTATAGAAACGGAACTCGCGTACATCTCTTTTTACAGAAACCGTAGTTCAGAATAGCAACACATTTTATTCCGAGCATAATTAAAGAATTGTCTATCGCAATGTCAGTTTAGAACTTTTTGGATGAAATCGCACTTTGAATAATACGAAAAATTTGATAAAATATTCCGCATATTAAATCACCTTAAGAGTGATAAACCCACACAGGGCCTGAAAGTCGGTCATTGCCAGAGCCATCTCAGGTTTGTGATTTCCATCTTTATAAACATCAGGCTGCAACTTGTGCAAAGTCCAGGCCAACTCCTTGTCCGGGTGAGCCTGTATTGATAGCGCCTTTGACACTGAGAGTACCTGACATGCAAACGCATTCACAGAACCTATAAGCACAGAATCCATACAGTGGCCAGCAACCAATCCAACGAGCGAGATTGGTAGAAAGAGATAAAGTTCCTTCATAGCGATTCTTCTATGTAGCATTCTAGGAGTAAAAATCCTAAATTCACCGTGAGGGCAGTGCACCATGTAATTGAGAAGGAATGGTCCGTGCAAAGTTTGACCATGATTTAAATGAAGGAGAGGAGGAGGAGGAGGAAGAAGAAGAAGAAGCACTGATCAGCATCTGTTTTTCTGATCCCCTCTCAGTTCAAGTCTGGCACACAGAAATTGATGAGAGAAGTTCGCCTCAAGATCAGGCAGGAATAGGCCGAACAAAGTTCACCAAATACGTGCCCATAATAACCCAAAAACAAAAATACAACGCCCAGCATTCCCTTCCCTGATCTCCTTTCAAATTTGTGACGCAGAAGATAGAGAATCATACCTTAAACAAGAAAGGTAGATCACAACCCCACTTCTTCAAAACCTTCTCCCCTAGCACATTTGGGTTCCTTGACAACCACGACTTTAGAGTCACATCTTCCGAACCGTCTACAATGCCGTTTTTGTCGTTGGCAATCAGGAACGACGGCCCTGAATCGTGGGTGCCCATCCATAGCTCAGCGTACGGCTTATCAGGTTCGAATCGAGTCCCAGAATTCAAAGCAGAGAGAGTGGCGACTTGAGAGTCTTGACCCAATCGACCCCAGTTGTAGTTCTGGACGGAGCATCGAAGCCTCTGAAGCTTCTCCTCCCGCGGCTTCCTCATTGCAAAACCAGCAGCTTCCATGAAATCGAAAGAGCTATGTAATCCTATTGATAAGAATATTGAAGGGATAGAATAGAATGCGAATGTGGATGTATGCCCGTCATTGCCTGCTACTTGCTCTTTTTAAGTGCTTGGAAATGGAACGGTGCCATTAGAAGAAAATTTTTGCCAGAGAGCGACAGATGGATCGTACGTTCGACAGGGAAAGAGGATAGAGGCAAGTGGGGTATAATTCCTTGGCAGTTTCAGTTTCTCCTATCCCCAATGTCATCAACTTCTCTTGGATTGCTCGACGGGCACGAAATTTCCCAGGGAAAGTATAAATCTTCCCAGGGAAATTCCCGTCCAAAAAAACAGTTATTTTTAAAGACGACGAGTTTTTTAAATAATGTTGGACTTTTTATGCACAGGGTGCCTTGTTCTCCGGACAAAACGGAGATCCGAGATTGAGAAATAATGTGATTTATTACAACTTATTCTAATTATAAAATAGTACTTTTTGTGCTTAATATAAAACCTAATTTTTGAATTGGTTTTATAATATTTATTTTTTATATTTATTAATTTTTTTGTAAATTACTCATATAGATACTCGCTCAATTATAATCAAATAGAAGAGAAATATGTGATATTAAGATATATGATTATGGTATTTTAGGAAAAATGTGTCACATTTCTTATAATTAACTAACTTACCTAACTTTCTTAATCTAATCAAATTAGTTAAATAGATCTTATATTAAAGACTGGAAGAGTACTACCTTCAATTCTAATTATAAAATCTCATATAAATGAGATTTTATAATTAGGAGTGGAGATAGTAATATAGTATAGTATTATATATTCCGTCTTTTTTTTGCCAACACCAGATGTTATATTTCTTGTTGGCCAAAAAATAGATGCTATATTTCTTGATTCAATATTTTTTTGCGTACTTTTTTTGCCAACTATTTCTTAATTCAATATTCTCCCTATTATCAATGTGATAACAATTTAATTAATGTGGGTAGGTTAAGCAAGTGAAATAAATTATTAATTATAATAAATATAACACATTTTTTTAAAATACTAATATTAATGTAAAACTTCAGATTATATGTTAATTTATTAATTAGATAAATTAGGTTAAAAAATAAATGTGATAAATAAAATGATGAAGTTCCTAGTATTTATGAATAAATCTAGTCCCAACTAATTTATATTATGAATAACAAAGTTTTACAACCAATAAGCCTTTGGTTAAAATAGTAAACAGTCTTTTTATTTAAAAAAAATAGTAAACAGTCTCATATCTGAAGAAAAATACGAGTTCAAAACTTAAAAAGTGCAATTGTTATGATGACTTTAACCTTAACATTTCTGATCCAATAGAAATTAATATCAAACTCAAAGTGACTTAAAAATACAGAGTTATATCACAAAAAAAAAACCAAAGAGTTGTACAATATATTACAGGAAAATCATTTTACTTAATTATCTCTCAGTAATATGATTTGATTACTTTTTTATTATTATGTTAATCATTAAATATCAACAAAAAATATGAAGTGCTGTGTGCAAGAGGGCTTTTTTTATGAAATATGAACGAATGCTGACCTAATCAGTTTAACTTAAAAATACTGTAAACCAAACTGGTTTACGATTTGAAATTTTTTAAAGAAAATGTAATTTACAAAATATTTTTTTCACAAGAATATTGGAAACCAAAAAGCAACAAAGAAAAAAAAAAGTTCGTTGAGAAAGCGGCTAAGGGACAGCCACGTCTGATGATGCCAACGCGTGAATCACACTTATCTCGCGATAAAATGAAAAAAGTTCGGTCTTCTTCTCGTAAAACGGCATCGTTCTATTGGATCAAAGAGGTCATAATCTCCGGCGTCGGTGGCCGACTCAGTGTGCGGCAAGTAAGAGAGAGAGAGAGAGAGAGAGGACCAAGCGTGGGTCCCACAACCGACGTCTTCGCCTCAACTGCGCTAAGTCCACGTTTATTCGCCTTAATAAAATTATAATTATAATTTGAGTGAATATTAAACAATAATTACCCATGTGATGTGTAATATTAACACAAATCAATATTTTCGAATAAGTTGTTGTGTGACTTTATTGATCCCTTTTAAAATTATATAACTTGCCTTGAATAAAGCTCCAGGGTCCAAGATTCTCCTTAAATATTGATTTTTTTTTTGACCAGACTGCTTAAATATTGATTGAGGTGCTCTATTTGAAATGCATACATAAAATATTTTCTAACTTAAAAATGGGCAAAGCATATTTGTACTGAACTGAACCGACAGTCTGATTTATTAACGGAACTCATTAACGTGATATAAACTTTTTATAATACTCGTATCACGTTATTATTATATTACATTCAGTACTTATTACTTAATATAAGAGTTAATAGGAGGTTTAAATTCGGTCCTAAACATATTATTCATCCAAACTAACCATTTTAATTGTATATATATTAAATGAGTTTGCATTAAATAATAGTTTCAATTAACAAGATATTTTTAAAAAAACTAACACATATTTTTAATAAATAATTAATTTAATTTTTTTTTAATCTACTCATACTCAAATTAGTTATATAATTTTTATATTAAGAATTGGAAGTAGCCTATTATTATATATACATGTACTTATTTTTATTATGTTTTTAAATTATTACATCACTAATTCACCACCATCCTAGCCGGCCAGCCCCAGGTAATCATATGCTGTAGTTCGATATCTAGCTCATGGTTTCAAAACATTCATAATACTATTATCTTTTTGTTCTTAATATAAGAACTAATTAACTTATTTAAATATATTAAAATATTAGTTAAATTAGTTATTTGTAATAAATATGTGTTATTTTCTCTAAAATATCATTGTTAATCATATATATTAGTTAGAACTACTATTTGATGAAATTTTAACATGTGCAACTACTACAATAACTATCTTAAAAAAATAAATAAATATAAGAGATAAAATGGATTGAAACTTTATATCTATAACTAAATTGAATATCAAACTAATTTTTATACTAAGAACAAAAATAATAATATTTTAGTAGGAAAAAGTCAGTTTTTCGACCAGCGTGGGACAGTGTCATTACTCATTACATGTATGCTTTTTTGCATGGTAAGAAAGAGAGGGTTAAGTTGGATAATATCGATGCTAAGGTATAAATCTTCTAAAGCTTATGCTATACTGTATATTTGTTGCCAAATTAATTAAGTAGAGTGAGCTTTTCAAAATTATAGTATCCATGAAATTCAAATGCAATTCATTCTCACATTATGACCAAGAGGTGATGGGTAACATCACTAGTGAAGGGAAAAGAAAAGAAAAAGTAATTATCAGAAATGGAATCGTAATAGTGTTCAAAAGTATACACAATCATAAGATAAAGTGTCACTTTCCTGCCAATCTTGCATTCATTTATTAAAATGAAGAAAGCGTAACAAAGAAAATTGAAAAACTATAAATGATAAAGAAAGCTTGAATCTGAGACCTTGTAACTGAACCCAGATTAATTTTTTTTTTTTTACAAATTTATACACTACCTCCGATCCTTAATATAAGACCTTGTTTGACTTTTATTTTGGTCATAAATATAACACCTCAATTCATTTTGTCTCTCATATTTATGTATTTTTTCCCAAGATAGTTCTTTTAACAATAGTAATTCTAACCAATATACTTGATTAGCAAGGATATTTTAGGAAAAATAATAAATATTAGTTACAAATTACTACCTCCGATCCTAATTATAAGAGTCAGTTGACTAATTTAAGGAGATTAAGATAATTAGTTGAGCTAGTTATTTGTCCTGAATAGGTGTTGTCTTTCGTAAAATATCATTGCTAATCAAATGTATTGACTAGAGCTATCATTATTAGAAGGGCTGCTTTGAAAAAATATATATATACTCCTCCGGTCCTTAATATAAGACCCATTTAACTAATTTGATTAGATTAAGGAAGTTAGGTAAATTAGTTAATTATAAGAAAAGTGACACATTTTTCCTAAAATACCATAATCATCTTTCTTAATACCCCATTTTCCTCTTTTACTTGATTATGGTTGAGGGAGTATTCATAGGGGTAATTTAGAGAAAATTGATAAATATGAGAAATGGGTCTTATATTTAGGACCAAAACCAACTTAAGAATTGGGTCTTATATTAAAGACCGGAGGAGTATATAAATATAAGAGACAAAGTGGATTAGGGTGTTATATTTAGGATTAAAATAAAAGTCAAACAAGGTATTATATTAAAGACCAGAAGTAGTACTAACTTAACTTTTTTCCTTAATCTCTCCAAATTAGTTAATTAGCTCTTATAATTAGGATTGAAGGTAGTATTAACTAGCTTCCTCGTGGCTTTATATAGATTTGAGAAGCTTTTGACCAAAGAAAAAAAGATTTGAGAAGCTCACAAAAGCTTCAGAGTTTTAATTATTGGGATGGTAGGTGAGAAGTGCTAATAAAATTTTTCTCCTAATAGTGACAGTTATGGGGTCAAATTTGACTCATTATTACCACTAAATACTAATCATTGGTGTAAGGTTCTAATCAAGTAGGAACGCCAAGAGAGAATATGAATTGGCAAAAAAAAGAAAATGTATATGTAAAAAGAAAATGATGGCGTATGATTAATGTTTAAAGTGTGATAAATCATTTATACGTGACAGAGTGATGTAAACTTCCTACCAACACAATTTAACAAAGAAAATCAAAATAGAGATTAATCAGGTTATTAGATGAATGCAGCCTCAATATTATGACAAATTAAACTTACAAATTTTTAATATTTTAACATCTAACAGCTTAAAAATCCCTCACTCTATTTATTTATAATAAATAAGGATGAAAGTTTTGAAAATAAATAGTAGATAACATTATGTACCTTTTTAACTAATTAGTTTAGCTTTGTTCATGGGTATTGGATTTTCTCAAGCCTTATATTTCGCATGGTTTTTATTGAAATCAGGAATTTCACATTATTTTAATCAAAATCATGTGCATGAAGCCATGAACTCCAATTAATGTTTAAATAAAAGGGGACGGGAGAAAATAGGACTCTTATTTCTTTTAAGAAAAATAGAACTCCATTTTTAACCTCTCTTTTTAATATTTTGAATTTCAAAATAATAATTCCAATTGATTAGTTAATTGATTAATTTAGGCTAATATAAAATTGGTTATTCGTCAATCAATGAGCAATCCAATCTAAAAATTTTCAAACAAGAGGAGAATGTAACGAGCGATCTAATCTATTAACGACAAGTTATCCTAGTGGCGG